CCAGGCCTATGTCAATGACACCCCTACAGTTGGGCAGTGCACAACCTATGCAACCTTACATGGCAGTCCTACACACTCCTTAGCACTTCAGCAGGGCACACGGGTACAGTAAGAGCCTGGAAATATAGATCCTAGAACATCTGAAAGTCCCAGCACCTCTCTCTAGAGTCCTTCCTGTTCACCCCTCAACCCGACTCAGTAGCCCCCTGGACTCACGCTCCACTCAGCACTTTCAAAGATCGCACGCTCTCAAAGCTGAGCTCCAGCACGCTGGGGCACTCGGCTGTGAATTCGTGCCGCCGGCCCTGGAAGCCCTCCTCGTCCCACACCACCATCTGTGTGGGAAAGAAAAGGTGGAGATCTACATCGGAGTCCTGCTGGGGGTGAGGGCTTGGGGGCTCACCCCAAACTCAGCGTGGAGCAGGGCCGGTAAGCAGGGATTGCAGACTCCATTGCCTCCAGGGGCCAGGCAGGCATGGGAGTGGGGGCGGCTGTGGAACACTGGACAGCACCGGCCACAGGCAAATGGGTGGCTCTACCCAGTGTCACCAATTGCTGCCATGTGGGAACGTGAGCCAGACTTTTCGATGTCTCCAGACAATCACTAAATCTGGATTTAAGTTAATATGGGGTCCTCCGGGTTTGGGGGCTGATGACGTGATGACAAATTCAAAAGCTTTTCTGTTTTTTAGAATACAGAGATGGTCAAAGAAACCATGCCCGAAGACTGTGTGCAGTCTCTGCCAGAGAGTGTCAACAGTTCAAGTTTGGAAACCAGGAGCCCCAAGTTCAAATTCGAGCTCCCTGTGGGTGGCCTTGGGCGAGTCCCTTCCCCACTCGGAGCCTCGGCTGCATCCTCTACAAAAAGGGCATAACCCCCTCCTCCAGGAAATCAACAGAGGTGAAGATAGGGGTTCTCTGGGCTTGGGGTTAACCTGCACCCCCCCACACTCCCTGGACGCCCCCTCCCCAGGCCTCTTCCTACCTTCCAGTGTCCCGCTGACTTGGCGCATTGCAGGGTCATGCTGGCCCCTTCCTACGGAGGAGAAGAACATGATTATCTTCCGCCTGACTCTCGGCTCTTCTCCTTGATGCTGAAGGCTGGTTTGGGCCAGGTCAGGCCCCAGATGGGGCCCCGGTGTGACTGGCTAGGGGCAAAGCGTGACCTCTCCCGCTTCTATCTTTTCCACCTGAGACCAATGCCACCTTCTGTCCTGGCCCCGTCTCGAACTTACCTGTTCCAAGTCCCGTTGCCTCTGAGCTCCCGCTCTATATTGTTTTCTCTGCCTGCCATAGGAAAATTTCTGTGGCTGCCAGGGGTGGATGCATCACCCCAGAAAGTGCCAAAATGCCCAGCTTACGAGAGCCCTTCCGAAGACAGCACCTACCCCAAAGAGGTAGCTCTGATGGTAGAAATTTACACGACAGGACTACAGGAATAATTTTGTTTCTAACATGGGGGTAGCAGGCTCTGGTCTTGATGGTTGGGGCCCGTCCTTGGCTAGGACGAGGCTGGCATTCAGGATGACACAGTGACATCCCCAGGATTGGGGACCTGAGCTCCCCGCCACCCCCCAAGCACGCTCACTCAGAGCTCTGATCCCACCCCTTCTCCAAACCTGGGACTTACCAGGATGGGCCCAGAGAACAAGTCAGACCTGAGACCAGCCGAGGTCAGGCTCTTATAGGCAGGGAGGGGAGAGGGGCCCCTGGGAGACAAAGCCCCGACTCAGCAAGCGAGCCGCAGAAACAAAAGCCAGCCCTGGCTGGAGCACCGATGGAGAGTAGTCAGCAGCTCTGGCTTTAGCTGGGAGGGAACAGATCAGATCGCCTCCCCCAGGGATCAGCCAGGAAGAAGGCAAGAGGTGACAGGTCTGCCTTAATCAGCTCCACAGGGCTCCTGACTTGAGCAGGAGAATGAGCACTGGATGAGGAGTCCAAAAACATCCTTCCTGGCTGTGTGTCCTTGGGCAAGTCATTTCCCCTCCATTTCTGCATATAAAATGGGACAGAAACAAACTCTATCACAGGGTGGCTGTGAGGTTATGTAACATGCCTGGCACAGAGTAAACTTTCAACAAATGCCTTTTCCTTTCTTCTTCTCACCCCCCTTTGCTCTTCTAGCTGGAACAATCAGGGTAGGCTGCATGTTGGAGGTGGTATTCCAACTAGACTCTGAAAGGTGGAGAGGGTTTGTACAGACTGAGATGGAAGGAGAGGCATTCTAAGCAAAAGCGCAGAGGTAGGACCATGGGCACATGCATGAGAAAGAGCTGGTAGCACAACTGAGCTAGAGCTCCGGGGACCCAAAGCGGGGCCAAGGCAGGAGAGGAGGGCTGGATCAGGCCTTACAGGGTCCATGAAGCCCAAAGATGAGTCCAGATGGTTCTGTGGACAGAATGAAGGAGCCGTCGGGTACAAACATGCATTGCAAACTGTAGCACACCTGCCAAATAGCCAGGGCTTGTAGAATTCTCTGTGTGCCCGTCCCTGCACCCTGCCCTCCAAGTTGGCCTAAAAGGGCCTCTTACAGCATAGAAAAGAGCACAGCCAGGAACCAGATCACCTAAGGCGAAACCCAGCCCTGCCTGTTACCATCTGGGCAACCTGGACAACATCTAAGTCTTGCTCATGACCCGTAAAATGGCAAAATCAGTTCCCTCCTGGGAGGGTTAAGTGCAGCTCTATCAAATGCATCACATTGATGAAGGTCATCAGGAAAATTAAAGGGGAAGAATGCAGCCTCTCTAGCCTGACAGGCTGGGTTTGCGTCCCACCTGTGCTGGCTGGGTCACCTTGAACGTGTCACTTAATCTTTCTGCATCAGTCTCCTTGTTTATAAAATGGGTATAACAAGGTAAGTTGCATTTAGCCTAAGAGAGAGGGGTATTATGAGGACAGATGTGAATTGCCCATGAACAGGACTCAGAACTGCTCCTGAAAGATAAAAAAAAAATTATATCTCTCCATCATCTTCATCATCATCATTGCTAATAGTAAAAATGATCACTATTCAATAATCATGCATCGGAAAGCAGGAGTGTATAGATTTCAAGAGCTTGGGTTGAGAAGTTTAAAAGATGAGAGTCCCAATTCCACTTTGCAGATGAGAAAACAGGCTGGGAGAGTCGAAAGGAGTTTGCCTCAGTCTCCTCATCTGTAAATGGGGCTAACTTCAGAAACGCCACCCTCGTAGTGAGGATTATAGGCAGTGAAACGCTCACAGGGGAGACACCCAGCATGGTGGGCCAGCTCCCATCTCTGTCCCCACCCTCTGGCAGATGGCCCATTGCCTAGGCGGGCACGGAACTGCCCCAGAAATCCTGGCCTTGAAGCCCAGACTGTGGGTGGCCCCCACCGCAGGCACCTTGGCCCCGCTTTCTGTGGCTGCTCCATCCTGCAGTTCCTGCCCCCCCACCCCCCACAGGCCTTGGCCGGGGATGAAAGGCTGAGGGACGGCTGGGAAGTGAGGGGGTGCGGGGGCGGGGACTGGTGTGGAGGGCAGAGGCAGAGCTGGCCCCAGGCCAGGGCGATCTCAAAGCAGGGCTGGGCTCTGTGGGGAGCCTGGAGCCCCGAAGAAGAGGCAGGAACCTGTACAGACACCCCCCACCCAACACACACATGCACACACTGCCTGAGGCTGGGTTGTCAGACTGCAGGTGACCTGGCTGAGCAGTTCCCCTGGGGCCCTCTGACACCAGCTCTGCTGTGAGCTCACAGCCTGTGACCCTGTTGAAGTCACTTGTTCCATCTGGGACTCTGTTTCTCCATTTGAGAAATGAGGGGATTGGACCCCATAATCTCTGGGGTCTGTTCTGTTGTTCTGAGCCGCTGTGCCCGGCCTTGGCCGCTGTCTCCCCGGCTCTCTCCCTCTGCCCCCTGTGTCTCTGTGTTCATCCTCTCTCTGCTGCTCTCCACTTCTCCCCATCCACCGCCCACTGCTCAACTCACCCTGGTTTGCTCCTCTGCCCTGTCCCCCATCTTCTGTTACAATCCACTAGAATAGCCACTGAGTCCCCAAATACTGTTGGAGGGCCTACTGTGTGCCGGGCACTCCGCCAGGCGCCTGGACCAGTGGGGAACAAGGCATGGTGGAATTTGGGGCTTCCAAGAGGGGAAGGCTCGAAGGCAGGCAGGCAGATTCCTCACCACCAGCTCTGTCCCTGGGGCCAGAGAAGGGGACCAGGGGGCTAGTACAGGCAGGTCAGGAAAGGATGGGGCCTAGTGTGGACAAAAGAACAGGACCCAGGTCTTGACTGTTCAACCCACCTGAGCACAGAAGACCTTCACCCTCATCCCTACCCCCACCTAGAAGCAGCGAGTCAGGCGAGGCCAGGGGCCCGCGGCGTGAGAAGGAAGCACACAAGCCCAGAGCCAGCCGGCTTGGAATGGCTCTCACCCCTCTGTGCCCTGGCCTTCCTCATCTGTGAAATGGGTACAACCAAAGTACCAAATAAGGCAGATTGTCCCGGGGACTGACAGAGAGGGCATGGGCAAAGCGTTCGTTAGCACACAGTAAGCACTTAGTGCGTGCGGCTGTGCATATCGAACCTGCATCTGCCTCTGAAAGCATTTCTCCTACGCTCATTGCTGTTTTGCTGCGCAGCGTCCAGTAGGGACGCTTGTGCCCACCCTGTCACCGCAGACACAGAGGGGTAAAGAGCTACCAAAAGCCACCCACTCAGTGCAGTGTGGCTGAGTCAGGATTCAAACCCAGGGCTCCCTCCTTCCAGGGTCACCCGTTCCCGGGCCCCATGTTGGCAGCCAGCAGGGACCAGGTTGGGGCCCGCCCCAGGCCGGGGGTATGGAGAGAGAGGAGTCAGGGTAGGGTCGGAAAGTGAAGCCTCCCCGGGCCGCTGGGGTTTCTGCTGCGTGCGCTGGGCACACAATGGAAAGTGCTGCTGTCTGCAGTGACCCAGGCAAGGTCGGGGCCCCAGTCCCCCACTGCCCGCCCAGGCCTGCTGAGCCAGCTACCACTTTGTGCCACAGACTATGGGGACTGATGCCTGCCAGACTATAAAATGGGGGGTCGGCCCCCAGCCACCCATAGCACCTGCCCGCTCGCCTGGCCTCCAGCAGGAAGTAGCAAGTCCCCAGGTAAGAGAGATCCCGCCGCGCAGCTGGGAGTGGAAGGGGAAGAGGGGAAGGTGGGCAGAGAGAGGGAGGCAGGGCAGTGGAGGGAAGGACAGAAAGACAGAAAGACAGAGAGAGAGAGAGAGAGAGAGAGAGCGCGCAAGATATTGGTGGAGAAAGAAGCAAGGAACGAGAAAAACAGACAAAAAGACAGAAAGATCGGCAGAGGGTGAAAGTGAATGAAAAATAACGACAGAAATAAACAGATATAGCTGGGCACGGTGGCTCAGGCCTGTAATCCCAGCACGCTGGGAGGCCGAGGCAGGAGGGTTGCTTGAGGTCAGGAGTTCGAGACCAGCCTGAGCAAGAGTCTACAAAAAATAGAAAAAACTATCTGGGCGTGGTGGCGCATGCCTGTAGTCCCAACTACTGGGGGGGTGGAGGGCTGAAGCAGGAAGATGGCTTGAGCCCAGGAGTTGGAGGCTGCAGTGAGCCATGATGATGCCACCGCACTCCAGCCCAGGTGACAGAGCGAGACCCTGTCTCAAAAATAAATAAATAAGAGAAATAAACAGTCAGACAGGCAGAGAGAGGGAGGAAGAGAGGACAGGAAGAGGGAAGAAAGAACGAGAACGTCCCCAGGAGGGAATGAGTCCAGCTCCCCGCCCCCGGGGGAGTGTTTAAAAGCCACAGATGTGGTCCAGATGTCTGGCCTGGCCACAGTGGGCAGAGAACCCCAGAGTATCCACAGCCTTCCTCAGGGGAGGCGGGGGGAGGGATCTGCTTGCCCCAACTAGCTCCTTCCCACAGGGAGTGTTCCGGAATCATCGGGACCAGAAGGTCTTAATCTGTGCTGTGGGGGTCTTTGAATCCCTTGTCATTGTCTCCAAAATTAAAGGGGGCGTTTTGTTTCTGGAGACAAGGTCAAGGTGTTCGTCAAGCACTCAAGGTAGTCCTGATCCCGAAGCAACGAGGAACCACTGGAATTGACCAAAACCCTCTCCACCCAACGCCCGCGCAGCCACAGTGCTCATTTTTAGAACCTTCACCATGCACTAAATACGTCGTCTCCTTGGGTCCTCCTTTATGCCCAGTGTCAGGCCTGAATTTGTACCCACACACCCACCCCCAGAGAATGCCAGAGGCAGCAGGGTAAGAAGGGAGACAGAAGCATGCATTCATTCATTCTCTGAGCAGATGTTAACTGAGCATCTACTATGTGCCAGGCACAAAGCCAAGTGCTTAGGGCTGGAGGGGTGGATACACCACAGCAAGTACACACAGAGTACTTAAGAACCCCGTTGCTGGGTCCGTCTGCTTGAGTGGTAATCAGAGCCTGGTCACTCAGTAGCTGCATGGGCCTGAGCAGAGCACCGCCCCTCCCGACCCTCAGCCTACTCTGAGGGGACGATGACAACCGCAGCTCCGTGGGGCTAGAGTCAGGGTCAGATGAGTGAGTTAATGCATGTAACAACGCCCGCCGTACTTTAAGAACTCCCAAATGTGACTTCTTGTTATTAATCTGGAAGGCAAATTGAAGGTGCACGAGCAAACCAGTGTGATACGTAGCGTGGAAAACTGCAGGGGGCCAAGGAAGGACCTGGCTGAGTCGCACAGGGTAGGACAGCCGACAGAGCAAACAGTGAGGTCAAAAGCCTGGCGGAAGGATGGATTAGGGATACGAGGTCCCCGGACAGGAAATTCTTGGCTGGGGCTAGGGATGGCATGAAAAACTTCCAGGCTTATGTTTCAGAAGGAGAAAGAGAGGAAATGAGCTCAAGGAAGCCCGAAAGCACAGGGCGAGGAGGTCTGAGAGCGGGGAGGCAGCTTGGGGGTGCCATCCCCGAATTCACCTGGCTAAAGGTTTCTGTACAGACTTTTGCAGGTGGGAGCCATGTCTCAGGCTGCAAAGGCCTCGGCCTCGGCCACAGCGGCGGCGAACCCAGGGTCTGATGCCAAGGGGAAGGGGGGCCCCCCCACAGGAGCACCCCCCGGCCCCGGAGCTGCCCTGCCCCCTGCATCCGTGCCTGTTCCCAGTGCCAAAGCAGCGGACCTGCCTTCCGGGAGCTACAGGGTAAGGACCTGCGGGTGGGGTGGCTGGGCTCCACCCCTCTGCTTCCCCGCCTTCACCTCCTCCTCCTCCTCTTCCTCATCCTCCTTTTTCTCCTCCTCCCCCCTCACCTCTTCCACACTCTCTTCCTTTTCCTCATTCCTCTCCTTCCCCCTCTTCTCCTTCCCAACCTCCCCATCCTTTCCCTCCTCTGTCTCTTTTCCCCTTGTCCTCCTCCCTGGCCTCCTCCCTGCTCCTTCATCCCAGACACAAACATGGCCCGGCCAATCTGGGAGCCCACAAAAATGGCTTGGGGGTTTCAACACACCTGGAAAGAGGGGACCCATTCTGTAGTCGTGACATAACCATGACAATGATGAAAACAGAACACGTCACAGCTGAAGGGACATCTGCCAGTCAGGCTAGACCTGCACAAGCAAGTGCTTTGAGTTTCTCGAAAGCAAGAAACAGAGAAGAGGAGGAAGTGGGCTGGCTTAGCAGCAGGAGCCACCTGTCCCCAGGAGGTTCACCAGGACAGCGGGCTGGCCTCAGACCCTCCTGAAAGTCGTTGAAAGCGATTCAGGTTGAAAGGGCTGTCGGAGAGCGAGGCGTCCAGTCCCCTGGGGTTGCGTTTGGATCCATTTCAATCTCAGCTGCGCAGAACTGGGCCCTTTTGCATCCCTCGGTTCATGCCACGCTCTCGTGTGGTCTGTGTGCGGCCAGCTTTTATTCATCTACTTATGTAATTACTAATCTCATATAATTTTTAATAATGCGACAAGCACCCGCAGACCCACCGCCTATATAAAAGCCAGGACTTGGTAAAAATCCTCTCCTCAACTCTAAGGCGTCTCCCTTGAGCCCCCTGCGCCTCCCCCCAACACCAGGAAACCACCGTCCCCACCCTGTGTCCGTAATCTGCTGGCTTCCTTTTTTACATGCTTTCATGCATTATTCCTTTAACAGTAGATATGTTTGTACGTGTACTTAACTTACTGAAATATGCCGTAGGTGATTATTCTGGGTCTTTCTTTTTTCTTTTCGCTTACCCTGAGATCCCTGCATCTATCCACGTTGTCGTGCGCCCATCACCGTGGGCCATTCGCTTTGGCTGCCGTGTGATATTTCAGAGTGTGGCCGTTACTGTCCTGCTAGGAGCCATTTAGGTGGTTCTAGCTTTGCTCTCATGAGCAGCCTGGCCTGGATGTTCTTATTTCTGTCTCCCTGGGCACACACAGGAGTTTCTCCCGGGCAGCCAAGTGTAAGAATACAAGCGCTGGGTCAAGGCTATGTGAACCTCGTCCTTTTATAGCTGGGGACACTGAGGCTCAAAGAAGGCAGACAATTGCCTCAGTTCAAGTGAATGGCAAAGTTTTCCCAAGTTGGGACAGCAAGCGGACAAAGAACCAAAACAGGAGGTTCAGCCACAAGAGATCAGCTCAAGTTGTGGAAGGTAGATGGGCAAGTGTCTCCTGGGCATCAGCTCTGTGGCAGGTGCCGGAGATATAGAAATGGCTCAATCCCAGTCACTAACCTGGAGGAGGCCTTGGTCTTTGGAGGGGTCTGGATAAGGTGGAAGAGGGGTGCATAGAGAGAGAGAGAAAGAGACCCAAAAGCAAAGCGGCAGTGACGGTGTGCTGTGTTACTTGTGCTGCTAATGAAAAATGCACAGTAGGGGCCACTCAACCAAGTGTGCACGGGGCAGGGGGCAATCAGGGAAGGCTTCCTGGAGATGGTGACATCTGAGCCTAGCACAGAAGAGGTAGCATGACAACCAGCCTAGAAAATGAAGCAGTGGGAGCTCTAAGATACGGATGAGTGGTGGAGAAAACATTCCAGGCAGGAGGAACAGCGCAGAGAAAGTCCTGGAAGAAAGGTCCACCGGTTCCTAATGAAGGTGCAGATCTTAAGTTCAGAAGTGGGGGAACAGGAGGACAGGATGGTTTCACAGACTATGGCTCATGACACCCTCTTATGTGACCCATGCACAGCCAGCTTTTTATTTATCTAGGTACTTAATGCATTTTTGACCCAGAGCCTCTCCGATTTGGGGGGACTCCTCCCCACTCACTCTGCTCCCTCGACATGGGGGCTTCTCTCCTGCAGCTGGTGGTCTTCGAACAGGAAAACTTCCAGGGCCGTCGGATGGAATTCTCGGGGGAGTGCGCGAACCTGGGGGACCGTGGCTTCGATCGCGTGCGCAGCCTCATTGTCACCTCGGGACCGTGAGTGTCGGGCAGGGGAGGGGCACACCCTCTGCCACAGGAAAAAGCAACACGATAGTAGCTGTCATTTACCAGGTGCCTACCCAATGCCCATGGCCATGCTAGTCACGTCCGCCTTCATTTCAAACCCGAGAGAAAGATATTATTCTCATTCCTATTTTACAGATGAGGAAACTGAGGCTCCAATTAGCAGCAGGTCACACTGTCAGTAAGCCATGGTTCCTGGGCTCCAGAAAAATGTTGCTTCTACCGTTAAAGAACCCTAGGGCCAGGTGCAGTGGCTCACGCCTGTAATCCTAACACTTTGGGAGGCCGAGGCAGGAGGATCACTTGAAGCCAGGAGTTTTAGACCAGACTGAGCAAGACAGCAAAACCCCATGTCTACAAAAATAGAAAAATTAGCTGGGCGTGGTGGCATACACCTGTAGTCCCAGCTACTTGGGAGGCTGAGGCAGGAGGATCACTTGAGCCCAGGAGTTTGGGGTTTCAGTGAGCTATGATGATGCCACTGCACTCTAGCCTGGGCAACAGAGTGAGACCCCATCTCAATAAAAAAAAAAAGAAAGAACCCTAGCCCATCACTGAGGACAGGAGGAGGCCAAAGAGCCAGTGTCCACTCACTGTCCCCTCTCCTAGGCATCAAGTAATGATAAGCATCTGTGGAGTATCCTCTAGGTGCCAGGCACTAACTGAGGGCTTTACTTAGATGATCGCACAACACTATAGGAGGGAGGGGCTATTCTCATCCCCATTTGACAGATGGGAAAACTGAGGTTCAGAGGAGTTAAGTCTCTTACCTAGTGGTAAGTAACACAGCTAGGATTTGACTCACACCATTGATTGATTTCATTCCTTTTTTTTTTTTTAAGACGGAGTCTTGCTCTGTCACCCAGGCTGGAGTGTAGCGGCACGATCATAGCTTACTACAATCTTGAATTCCTGAGCTGAAGGGATCCTCTTGCCTCAGCCTCCTGAGTAGCTGGGACTATAGGCACACACCATCACGCTTGGATGATATTTTTTATTTTTTGTAGAGATGGTGTCTTGCTATGTTGCCCAGGCTCATCTTGAATTTCTGGCCTCAAGCGATTCTCCTGCCTCAGCCTCTCAAAGTGTGGGGATTACAGGTATGAGACACTGTGGCCAGCCCCTGTTCCCAAAGCTCTTAATCACCGTGCTTCACTGCCTGTTCCTGACTCTCTGGGCTTCTCTGGGCTTTGGGGACCCTCATAAAATTGCAGAAATAATTATTCCTCCAGAAAAATGGCTGCCCCAGGTCCAGCCCCTGTGTTCTGAGGTCAGGATGTGGGGCCAGCCCCAGGATAAGATCCACGTGGCCACTTTGCTCTGGTCTCTCATCCTTAAAGCTCCCAAGAGCTATGGCCAGCGGGGCTTTGAGGTCAGATGAGCCTGGGTTTGAGTCCTGACACCCCCATTTGCCTCGTTTAGTCTTCAAGCCTCAGCTTCCTCTTCTCTGAAATGGGGAGAGTGATGGCCCCACTCCCCCTCACAGGGTTATTATCCCGAGGCCTGGAGGAAATAACACAGCATGGGCCCGGCACTTCGCGGGCACCCAAACAAAGCAGGCGACTGTGATGGTGACCCCCCCTCCTCATTGCCCCGTGAATTCAGCCAAGTCACCCTGGGCCGGGGGAGGCTCCAGGGGCCATTTCTCCCTCCTGCACCCACTTCACCCACGGTGTGGTCAACACAACCCCCGCCCCACCCTCGGCCCCCAAACTCTGCTGGGAACAGAAGCTACCGGATGTGGCCAGCTTGGGGTTTCAGGCTTTTTTTGGCTCCAGTGACTCAAACCTAGAGTGTTTCTCCTCAAACAAAGATGCAGCTGGTCTCGGGTGTGTGCCTTGGGGCTGCCCCTGATGGGCACGTGGGTCAGCGTTGGGGGCTGGCAGGGCTGTGAGGGGAAAAAGAGGCAAATGACTAGGTGGGCAGGCGACGAGAGGCTGCCTTCAGCACGGGGGTGTAGAGGCATGGCTGCCTGAAACCTAGAGAGACATCCTGACACCTGACAGCGTCGTGTGACCTTAAGCCGGGGACTTAACCCGCTGAGCCTCAGTTTCCACGTCTGTAAATTAAAACTTCTGCCCAACCTCTTTCCGTGCTTGTAGCTTCAAATGAGGACGGAAGATGAGAAAAGGCACTGACATAAATATTTTAGACTCCTCACTGGTCCCCTGATGAGGACAGGAGAGGTTTGAGGGTAGGCTGGGCAGGGCGGCAGGGCCACATCAGTGTCCGTCTTTCCTTAAGCTCAGACCTCAGGCCACTCCCCCGCCCTCCTTTAATCGTAAACGGTGTCATTTGTCGGGCTTGCTCTGTGCCGGATCTGTTCCATGCGCTCCCTCCTTCAGGCCCTCCTAACCTCCCGATGAGTAGATGCAATCATTTCTTCTCTTTTGCTGAATGAAGCTTAGCAAGCTTACGTGCTACCCGAAGTCATACAGCAAATAAA